ATACTAAGAATCATTGATAATTACTTATTTTCAGTATTAAAAATACTGGATAATAAGTAAATATCAATGATTCTTAGTATGATATTTCTATAAGGGTTGTACTCGTTATTTCTCTATTATTGTTCCTTTTTTATAGAAAATGAGTAATACAATTTTAAAATATAAACATTGTTTTTTATTGTGTATATGTGTACAATTATTGCACAATATAATTATCTTGACTTCTCTGCAGCAGTTTTACATAGTGTGTATGTGAAACTGCCCTATTTAATAACGTACATATGACCCTTAATAGAATTAAATAGTCTATTTAGGAAACAGAATCTGCGCGCAATCTGCCGTCAGTCTGTCGTCAGAATCTGTCGACAGGCTCTGCGCGCAGTCTGTCACCAATCTGTCGTCAGAAACTGCTAAAACAGTTTCTGTGTGCAGTCTGTTGCCATTCTGTCAACAGACACTGTTGACAGACTCTGCGTAAAATCTGCTCGCACAGGTTTGGCTATCTGGGTATAAAATAATAATAAATACATAATGCGATATTTACTACGATTTAGAAATATCAATTTATTATACAAACATCAATATTCAAGATAATTGAAAAGAATAGTATTATAAAATATTTTCTATCGAACCAATTATTTTCTATCGAATATTTTAAGCAGGGATTGTATAATATTGTATTTGAAATGTTGTTACAATATTATATTTGCAATATGAAATTTTGCAATGTTGCAGCAATGTTCCCAGATAGCAGACTCACGTCAAAATGACGTCCAAATCTGGTCTGTTCATGACCAAAAATGACCAAGGAATGACCAAAAATGTGAAAATGTCGTCAAAATGACGGTCTAATGTCACAGACCGATGACGACATTTTAAGACGACTTAATGACGTTTTAATGACGTCTCTAAACGTCAATAATACGTCATTAAGACGTTGTACAGAAACGTCATTAAGACGTCACCAAAAAGACGTCATTATTTAGTCACTTGACGTCAATCGACCAGTTATGACCAGTTTTTAACGGGAGTCTGCTATTTGAGTTGCTGTAGCTTCTGTATGGGTACGAGATGCATTTTCCTTTTTTTTTTTAGAATGTTATTTTTATCAAACCGGGGGGTTTCGCTTCCCCCCCCCCGAATCCTTTTTGATCAAGGTCTTCGCCCCCTGGACCCCCGGTTCATCGTTTGCAAATGTTTGAAAAATGAATGCTAATGTTTCAATAATGCATCGTTACTTATGTACGTTCAAATATATTTCTAATTCACGCACTGTTTGTATGAGCATGTGGCTACGGAGCATATACATGTTGCTGTTTATTGTCGGTGTGACAGTTTTCCTAACTTAAACAGTGATCAAATTTGTGAAATAATATCTCGCTTCACAGTAGAAAGCGACAATTTTTCTAAATAGAAAAGTTATTCGGCTTTAAAAAAACACGTCGATTGAGTAATTTTTCGTCAAAATCGTAGGTAAACTGAACAGGTGTGTGTAAACTGAATAATTACCAATCTAATTTTAAACTGAACAGGTGTGTGTAAACTGAATAATTACCAATCTAATTTTCAAACGAATATATATTGAAAGTTAAGGATAAGCAACCTTTAATTTTAGACCAAAGATTATTAGTCTGTTGTGATTAATGGTTCTTTTTAGCTCTACTGTTGAACTAGTGCAATAAGTTAAAGTGAAATAAATAAACTTTCTCTCACTTTAACTTACTAACTAGTGCAATAAGTTAAAGTGAAACAAATAAACTTTCTGTCACTTTAACTTATTGCACTAGTTCAGCAGTCCAGTTAAAAGAACAGAGCATTTGTCTTTGATTACATTGATGTTAATTGATGTTTTTCAAAATTTTTTTTAGTAACTTCTTAATAAACAATGAGTTATCTTGAAAATTATTCAGGATCATGATCTTAATAACATATTTCAAAGCTGTTAAAATTAATGAGATTGGCTTCGTTATGTGTAGAATTACTCTCATTTCTACAATATATATCAAAAATAAAATCATTCAAATTATGTCTCTTTTTACAATGTTTTCAAAACAACATTTACTATCCTTCTGTTAATATTTTTTTACGAGAAAGGAAATGATTAAAATTACTTTAATTTATGAATAAAGGTTAGGATCATATTCTATTACTAAAATTTTATCTTATTGCTCTATTTAGCAAAATATTTACTCAAAATTATAATTGTTTTGTATAAGCATATATCATGATTATCAATATTATTTACATACTTTAAATCTAATAAAACCAAACAGTAAGGATTGTATGGTTGTCTGTTAACATTTTCTTTATGTAATTTGTCCAAGTATAATTCTATAGAATCACTTGAAGTAATAAAATCTCTTATCAAGAAACCACGATTTTTTTTTGATGCATCCATCACAGCTTCTTTGCCAACATAATTTAAAATGACTGCAGCTTTTCCTCTTGTTGACAGAGCTAACCAAGTGCCACCTTCCTTACCAGCTTCCATGTCAATACCTAACATATTGAATATCTTTGTTTAAATTAATTACATATAGTATTGTATAATCCATGTAGTAACTAATAATTATGAACATTATGGTTTCAGATCGTTGTTATTGATTTTATCATACCTCCCAAACATTCAGGATGTTGACCCCAGTAATGAGCTGACAATGCAGGGCGTTTATACATCTCATCTCGATTTGATGCAATTATTAGTCGATAGGATCCAGCATTTGCATCCGGATTACGGTAAATAAATAAAATACACATAACTGATATTTCAATATTCACAACTGCTACAGGGATCCAGAAGAAGAGCTATTTATAAAGTTCAATATCGTACTTATCTTGGAATTTTTCTTCTGTAGTATTGATAATGTTATCAGATAACTAGTTCATAAATTAAGATAATGTTACCTAGACAGCACAATGTTCAAAACTGGGACATAAGATGTCTTTAAAACATCTTTAAAACTTAAAGACGCCGTATGTCTAGTTTTGGAGCTGTCTGGGTTATATTATTTGTATAATCAAATAATATACATTCATTTAGTGCTATTTGTCAAAAAAATATTTAATTATCATTAATATGAAAATTATAAGTTTATATATTTTCAAAGTACTTCTAAATTAGTGTAGGTGAACAAGTTTACTTTCTTACTTTCATTACACACACATACAAAGGGTGCGTTCATGCATCGACATATAGGCTGTGTTCAGCAGAGAAAACTGCCCCGCTACCGCTACATAGTGAACATCTACGATTGGAATATTCTTTCAGATCTTTGATACATATAAAAGAATACTCCAATCGTAGATATTCGCTATGTAGCGGTAGCGGAGCAATTTTCTCTGCTGAACACAGCCATAGGCTGCGTTCCGAAATTCACTGCCAGTACTGAAAATCTATGTCACGTATACTATAGAATTTCAGCACTGGCAGTGAATTTCGGAACGTAGCCATAGAATAGATTGCTAATAGTTACCACATGTAATGTGTGGTGTTTCTGGGTGGCAACAAACCAAGGTTGCATTCAAAACGTTCTTTTTCAGGAAAATTTTATTTAATACCTACAATTTACGTTACATAAACTATAGAGTCTCAAGTTTCCTCAAAAAGGATGTTTTGAAACACAATCCTAGAATGAGAGGCAGACTATAAGTTTGTTCGAGTTGCTTGTACTATTCACACTTTTAAGCTGGTGACACATAGAAAAACTTAAACAGTAAAACGTAAGCAGTTAGCAAATTGACCAATCACAGTCATTGATTTTTCTTACGGTCCAAGAATGAACGATTGTGATTAGTCAATTTGCTTACTGCTTACGTCTTACTGGGAGCGGTGCACTTGGACACGGTGCATTTGGACACAGCCAATCACAGCACCGTGTGATTAGAGACATTTGTAGGGTCCCTTGGAACAGCGACTTGTGATTGGACTGTGTCCAATTGCCCCGTGTCCAACTGATATACACTCCGTCTTACTGCTTAAGTTTTTCTGTGTGCCACGGCCCTTACACCTAATGCTCGTTGTACACTAGTGCACCCATAGACATAATGGACGCATTCAGTAGAAAAAGCGCTCAGTGAGCAATCAACGATTATTGGTTCTTGCTATTAGATCCCTAAATCTAGACCAATTACATTGACAAATTACTCAACTGTTGTGCAACTGTTGAGTCTACTGAATGCAGCCAATGGCTTGGTTTACATCGTGCACTTGATACGCGGGGAGCGTCCCGATTGATCACAGTACGATTGGACACAACCAACCGATGAAAAGAATTATCTAGTGAATTACTAGGTCAAACCAATCATTACAATTTGTGTCCAATCGTATCGTGGTCAATCGGGTCCCACCCTGGGGTGCGTTCAAAAACACTGAAAGTCCACGACGGAAAGTGGCTGTGGTGGATGGACTTGGTGGGGTTAGTGGAGTTGGTATCGAGAGGAGTTTTCGAACAGCCATGGAAGAATGCTCAATGTGACATACTACATGTGTGTTGTGCCTACATATGTGTTGTACAAAATGGCTGATCGAAAGCGTATTTCGACATTAGCTATAATTGCTTCTCAGCAAAATAATAATAAATTAATAAATTTAGTAATTAATTAATTAATTAATTTAGTAATTCTTAATTTATAATTTAGTTATCTGGAAAGTTAATTGGTTATATATTCCTCGGTCCGAGAACTCGGATCGATTTCTAGCATCGTGGGCACCAGGCCTAAGGAAATTTATACTTATTTATTACTCCTTACCTTTAACATCGTATATATAGACATTTCCCTTGTCATCTTTTTGTATATTTTTTTTAATATTTATGCATAAAATATGACGACTCGGGATTAAATTTTCCATTTTTTTTCACAAATTGTTACTGATTCGTGACTTTTAACG